TTCCATTTGCCTGATTTGATTTTCAATAAATCCATTTCAATAACATTAAGTTTTGTGTTAACTTGGTTTGCTGCTACGGGGAGGGTAATAAAGTATGTTTTTTATTAAAATATGAATAGGTTAAGTAAATTTGCCAAGTGTTATCAAAATATAACCATAAACTAGCAAAATAACTAATCAGGGTATTCATAATAGTTTAGAGAGAAATTCGACAATTTTACGTTTAGAGGGGCAAACATGAGAAAACCCAATTATTACCCCATAAATCCCCCAGAACACCCCGTTCTCATTGTCCGATCATGCTGGTTCGCGAACTCGTTCGAGTAAAAGTAGGTTTACACGTTTTTACCAAATTTCGTCAACGTTGGGTAATTTTTGCTTGAGTTATTACTTGAGTTGTGCTAACGTTCTTTAAAAAGTACACGTCTACAGTCATTAACGCTGTTAAAGTTTGATGTTATGTCATATGGAAAAGTACAACAAATCTTTGGATTGATTCCAATGAGTTCGCAATCCAGCATGATCAGACCATGGGACCGGGGTTTTTGGGGGGATTTATGGGGGTCAAAATTGGGTTTTGTCATGTTTAACCCTCTATAACATTTTCCAATTTATCTCTAAACCATTTTGGATACCATGATGAATTTGAATACCTTAAAAACCAAATAATTTTGTTTATTGAAGTGATTTTGTATGGATATTGGTTACCTACTGAGAAAATTCAAAAATTGTAAATTTATCATTCACATTTTATTCTTATGGAGAATAAGTAAACTGTTGTAGTTTACTCGATTATGGATATATTTTGATAAAACTTGGCAAATTTATTTATTTTGACCTAAGCCTTATTTTGACCTTTATTAATGTTTTAATAAAAAAAAACACACTTTATTATCCTCTCTATAGCAGCAAACCTAGGTACTAATTAAACTTAATGTTATTGAAATAGATTTAATTGAAAATCAAATCAGGCAAATGGAAACTCACTTAATCTGCAGGTTTGCTGCGGTGGGGGTATTTTGCCTATTCCATGAAATGCAGAGATGGCATCCCAACCTGTGATTGCAAGGAAAATGAAAGATCGCTGCAGATTTCTGGAGAGAGTTGAAAAAACTAAATATTAAACAATTTTTAATTATTTTAATTATTAACGGCCGCCATTTTGAAATGACCTAATCAAACTTGACCATTGACAAACTGGGATTAGATATCATATTCAAGCCCTTATATGCCAAATTTCATTAACATCGGTTCAGGCATTTTGGTATAATAACCCATTCATAGCGACCCAGCATCCTTTTACGAGCGCCATATTGATGACGTCATTACGGGTGACCAAGGTCCTTAAAAATTGGGGTCTGGGTGGTTTTACATTCTTGGTCTTATATATTATCTTCATCCTAAGTTGCAGGATCTTGGTTAATTTTCCTCACAACTTAAACATGTGACACAGACTCATGATCAATTTTGTAATAGATGATTGATATTAATTAACTAGATTATTTACCTTAATTAATTTGTCATATTTAGTTTTTAATTAATAAATTAGTCTTTTTCTGATAAACTGTCGGTTTTATTGCATTTATTGTGTTCTTTTTCGATTCTGCATCCTAAGAAACATAGAAAACGACACCCCACTTGCTTGGATCCCATTAATAAAAACTTTCTCAAAATCACTACCCCCATAAACTTAAAACCCCATAAAATGGTACTTCCACCCCCACAATCACTAGGGACTCTTCAGATTCCAATACCTAATGGTAATTACTACGTTTCCTGAAAGTTTCATGAATGGACTAATTTTTATGTTTTCTTAGGTGAGTTTTACCTGTACTAACTGCATTTTTGACTCGTTCAGTTGAGTACTGAGAAGAGTGGTGTCATCTGGGAACATTAGCACTCCCTCCTCAACACTAAGGTCGTTGATGTGTAAAATGAACAGTAGGGGACCCAGTACTGAGCCTTGCGGCACACCATAGTGTACTAGTTGAGTAGCCGATGTCGAGCCGTTAATAGTAACCATAGACAAAAAGAATGAAATATAGACTGTCAGCCGTGCTGCGGTTACCATGGTTACCATAGGTTCTGGCGCACACCGCTGTAGTTTACGTAGCGCGTACGCTGTAACTACCGTGGTGCTCCCAGCGGTGTGCGCCAGAACTTATGGTAACCGCAGCACAGCTGACGGTCTATATTTCATTCTTTTTGTCTATGTAGTAACACACTGCAACCTCCCATTCAAATTTCAAATAGGACTCCAGCATACTTAGAGTCTTGCCACAGAGACCATAGTGACGAAGTTTGTCCAACAGAAGGTTATGTGAAACACAGTCAAAAGGCCTTTGTTAAGTCACATAATGTTAAAAGAATCGAATCTTTATTTTCAAATGCGTCTGAGACTCGCTTGACAAGGTCCATAACTGCTGAGGTGGTAGATTTCCCTGACCTGTAACCATGATGAGTGCTGGACGAAAGGCTATTTCGTTAAGAAATATTAAAACACATATTAAGATATTAAAACAGTAGCAATATCCCCTCTTACTTATGTCATCAACATACAGAAGCTGCATTGTCAACATGAGTGGTTGGTTGTAGTTAATAATAACCTCTCCTGGAAGTTTTATGTAGTAATTGATTTGTACAGTTCTTTTTAGCGAATTTCCCTATAGGGAAGTAGCTATTACCGTAGGTGGCACGGTAAGACCTAGACCCGGGACTGATTTACTTTTTCATTTTGATGTCCCCAGAGGCCAACAAAAACACCATTCGTTCAAATTTTTATATATGTATATATATATATATAATTATATATATAGATTTATATATATATATATAGATTTATATATATATATATAGATTTATATATATATATCTTATCTTATCTTATCTGACAGGGGCAGGTCGAGACCTTAAAGCACTTCATCCGAAATCGAATTATTGCGCACCCCAGATACTTAATTGCTTTCTTGTTGACCTACAAGTTGAGGCGCCCAATGAATGCCTGTAACTTCCCAATTAGTTCATCCTCAGGAAGAAATCTACCTCTAGCCATATTTCCAAGAGTTATCAATCTAGCGTCAGAGAGCTCAATACAATCAAAGAGTAAGTGATCAGCTGTCTCTTCTGACCTATCACAGTACCTACAGATCGGTTCACCATCATATAAGCCCATCCGTTGTAGATGTTTCCTGAATCTTCCATGACCAGTTATCAGTTCAACAATTAATTTAATTCTTCGTCTGTCTAGTCTCAAGAGGTCACAGGCAACCTTTTTGGAAGGCCTAAACAGAGTAAGCTTGCTGACCCTAAGAAGGGGAACATCGACCCAGCGTTTGCGATGCTTTTCCTTGGCCCATGACGCAATCGCAGAACATACACTGTTTCGTGAGATGCCACAGAAGGGTTGCGGGCCTAACAATGATGTCGCAGAGGCAGTATTTGCCAATCTGTCTGCAGCTTCATTTCCTTCGATGCCTGAGTGTCCTGGTACCCAGCAAAGCGTAAGGTCATTTCTCCTACCCAACTCAGACACAGAAGCAAGACAATCCCACACGAGCCTGGAGTTGAATTCGTAAGAGTTTAATGCTTTTAAGGTCGCTTGACTATCAGTAAAGATATTGATTGTTTTGTCTCTGATATCTTTGTTAAGATGTTCTTGAGCACAAACTAGAATGGCAGTGACCTCCGCTTGAAAGACAGTTGGGTACACCCCCATTGGAAGACAAATACCAGTGCCTCCATTCATCCAATGCACACCTGCTCCAGTGCCCCCATTTTTGATCTTAGAACCATCAGTATAGCATTCTAAGTCACCTGTGGGTATGGGTCCTTTTCCGCCAGACCAATCCTTCCTATCTGGTATTAGTACTTTGAAAGGCTTTCCAAAGGAGTATTTTTTGGACATGTGATCTGAAGGTAAGTCCAATTCATCATTATGTACCACCTGAACAATTTTAGAGTGCCCTTTATTGTTCCCTGAGGCTATCCATAAGTTTTCGCATCTAAGGCGTTGGGCTGTTTTACTTGCTACCACCTTAATATAAATGTCAATAGGTAGCATGTCAAGCAGACAGTCAAGTGCCGCTCCAGGACAGCTACTTACTGCCCCAGTTATCATAATAAGAGCAAGCCTCTGAACTCCTGCTAAAGCTTTGACAGCTATAGTTGATTCCATCTTTGGCCACCACACAAGCGAACCATATGTAAGGGCGGGTCGAACAACAGATACATACAGCCAGTGCATAAGTTTAGGCTGTAACCCCCATGTGCCACTTACCATCCGCCTGCATGCCATAAGGGACCATTTGCCACGCTCAATAACTTTTTGAAGGTGTGGTCCCCAGTGAAGTGATCTGTCCAAAATTACACCAAGATACTTCACCTGATTCTGCAGCTCTATTACAGTACCCTGCAGTCTTAGTGGGCCGATCCCGTCCAGTTTCCTCCTTCTTGTGAAGGGTACCATTACAACTTTCCTGGGATTTATAGAGAGCCCAACATCCTGGCACCAACGGTCCACTACCCTTAAAGCTCTATTCATAAGGTCAGTTATGGTTCCGTGGAACTTTCCAACCACAAGGATTGCAACATCATCAGCATAACCTAAGGCGAAAACCCCACTTTCGTTGAGGGTCCTTATAAGGTCGTCTGCTACCAAATTCCAAAGTAGAGGAGAAAGAACCCCCCCCTGAGGACATCCTCGAGTAGTTCTTGCCTCGATCGTATCATTGTGGAGTGAGAGCCTAACCTTCCTACTGAGAAGCAAGGATTCAATCCATCTACATATTATACCGTGAAAACCTCTTGCTCTCACCGCATTAAGAATCGCTGGAGTACCAGTATTGTCAAAAGCACCTTGAATATCGAGAAAGGCACCCAGGGCCACTTCACTGCTCTCTAGAGCTTTCTCAATCTTGCTTACAAGATGGTGCAACGCAGTCTCGCATGATCTTCCTGAGACATACGCATGCTGATTAATATGTAAAGGATGTGTCCTAAGAGCTGTATCCATCATATATCTTGAGACCAACTTCTCTAGGATCTTAAGAAAGAAAGAAGATAGAGAAATGGGTCTGAATGACTTAGGGTCAGTGTAACTATCCCTTCCTGGTTTAGGAATAAATGCGATACGCGAATTACACCACCCTAAGGGAATGTGTCCTAACGCTAAGCTGGCTCTGAAAAGTTTACAGAGTGGGTGTATAATTGTATCAAGACCCTCCTGCAAACAAACAGGTCTTACCTCATCAGGACCCGGCGATTTGAAGGGTCGTAATAAGCCAACAGCCCATCTTACCTTGCTGAAGGTGACTATGCGGCAAGCAGTGCTCCACATAGAATGAGTGGCACGACGGCCCAGGTTAGGCCGCTCTGGACTCACCTCCTCCTGCTGCACTTCAGAAACAATACAACCAGGGAAATGAGTTTTTACCATAACCTTTAGTATTTCGGTAGGTTCAAAAGCCATTACACCATCCGGTCCCTCAACGGCACCCAAAGTAACATGCCTGTCTCTAACAAGTACCTTATGTATTCTAGAAGTATCCTTGATACTCTCTAAATTTCCACAAAAATTTTTCCATGAGAGCCTTTTGGCCTTACGTACTGCATGGTTATATTCTGTGAGAGTTGTATGGTATGTATCCCAATTATTGGTTATCTTTGCTCGCCTAAATTGGGCCCTTACTCTCTTCCTAAGAGAGGCAAGTTCAGGACCCCACCAACTAGCCCTGTTGCTCTTTCCCTTGCTCAAAGGACAATTATCCTCAAAGGATGTAACTATGCACCTAGTTAGACGATCTGCCGCCTCGTCAAGCGCATCAACTGTGTTAATAGGAGATGTGTTCAGGTTCGAGGCAATTCTGCCCCGAAGATCAGCTCTGAAGGATGCCCAGTCGGTTTTAACTGGGCTCCTGAATAAGCGAACCTCGCCGCAGAAATTCCCCAACCCGAAGACAATGTGCCTATGATCAGACAGGGATGGCTCAAGGGACACTGACCAGTCAATAATCCTGTCAGCCATACCCGCCGAACACAGGGTGAGATCAATTACTGATTGGCCTATCCTGCTTAAAAAAGTTGGTTCTGAGCCTACATTTGCAACAAGTAGGCCGCAAGAAGCTATATATTCTAGAAGTGACCTACCTCGGTTGTTAGTGTCCCTGCATCCCCAGGCCGTATTATGGGCATTGGAGTCGCAGCCTATCACGAGTTCAGATCCAGACTCGTGTGCGAGGTCGACCAATCTTCTGACCTCGGCCGATGGGAGCAGTCCATCGTCGCCCTGTGGCATGTAAACAGAGGCCAGCAGCAGATTTATGTTGGATTTAGTACATACAGTCTTAATTACTGTTACGTCCCTCGAACAAAGCTCTAGAACTGGATTACATTTTAGCCCCTCTTTAACCCAAATGCAAGTTCTAGGGTGTGGTACAGATGCAGAGAAGATGCTACCCTTTATAGTTCCCATCCCCGCAATTCTAAAATTATTGATCCAGGGTTCTTGAATCAAGGCATAATCTAAGGACTGCTTAACCGTGCTCAGACAGAACACAGCCGTGGCAGCCTTACTGTGTTGTAGGTTCGCTTGAAGGACCTGAGTCATCAGAGGGAGCACCAGAGATAACTCTGAGCTGTATTTTCCCCAGACCCAGATAGATAATCCAGCCACGATCTTTCAGAACCTGCGCATTCATTTCATCAATAGCAAGAACAAGAATCTGATGATCATCCTTCCTCTTCCCACCAATGACGCGCCAGTCCTTTGTCGTGACACCAGGATTTTGTCGCTCAATCTGAACAAACACTTTAGAGGCTTCGACCTTGGCCAAGCGCCTGTCAGTGCGTAGGAGCACTTTGGTCGTGCGCAACAGATCCTTATAGTCTGCTACAATGACCTCCATACTCCCCTCACTTCCCAGCGCCAGCTTCGGTGCCACCCTCTTTAGCCAGTCAGTTGTTTCAGAATTACCACAAGTTACGACAAGAGCACCCTTCTCATGGTAAATTTTTTCAAACTGATGAGGAATGTTGGCGCCGTCATCACCAAACACCAACTCCATCAGTTTGTCCTGCAACAAATCACATTCCTCAACAGAGAATCTCGCATCGGGATAGGCCGCTGGAGCTACTGCCAACTTGTGACCCACAAGCTGATCTCTGTAGCTGGCCTTTCCTGCAACGAGTCCATCTGCTGATTGATTAGAGTTTTTATTTCTCTTAGAAGGAGGATTTTGAGACGACCCAGGGTTACTATCGGATCCGGTTCTACGCATCGGTGATACGCCTGAACCTTCCCCAGGAGAACTCAGGGACTCTCGCTTCCTCTTTCTCCACTGTCTGTTAGGGATCCACGTGCCCTCAGCCTTTTTCTTTTCTCTAACAGACATATTGTACTCAGTTTTGGTCATAACTGTAAAAGTGATCTCAGAGTCGGACGAAACATCCGCCAGAGATGGAGAGTCGCCAGCACTGCTGGTGTTTAGTGGCTTATTCAGGTCTGCATCTAACCTGTGGCAAAGCTCAAGCACATCAGTAGATGAATTGGGTGGAGTTCTTGCTGTTAAGGAACTTCTCGAGAAGACCTCTGGCGAGTCCAGGATCTCCCCAGGTTCCGTCTCCATAGCGGTGTTCTGCACAGTAACATTATCATTGTTAAAGGAAAGCTGATCGTTGCCCTCCCCAGAATCCATGGGCTTGTCCTCCAAAAAGGAGGAGTGGGATTCCCCGCTTGAGCAGGTACCCACCTGGGGTAATGATTCCGTTCGTTTACTTTCAGCCATTACTAAAACAAGAAAAGCAAAAAAGTTAGCAGTTTAGCAGCCGAACCGTGACCCACTCACTACGCCTGCTAATATCCAAGACTGGACCCTTTCGGGGTAGGACCCCTCATCGTCTCCAGCTCAGTCCTGTCACAGCTGCACACATACCTGTAACAGTTGGCGGTAACATTAGCTATCTGGGCCTTGGCCGGATTGGTGATTGTCACCTCCGCCCAAGGCCAGTACTAGAGCAGCCGCTCCCTACCCTAGGGCTGTCTAGTCACGACACAGCCAGCGCTAGATCCGCTGCCTTCAGCGAGTGCAGAGGCACCCCTTGCAGGCTGTGCATAGCACAGTACGACTTTGCTGAACAAAGTCGACTCACAGCGGTCTTGGAGGAGGAGCTGTCATAGACAGCTCCCCCTCCCTGAGGAGCTTACGCTTACCTCTCACCTCCATCATCCTTCCTCTTCCCACCTTAGATTTATATATATATATATAGATTTATATATATATATATATACGTCCGTGAACGCGATAACTTGAGTAATATCTGCCCTATTTTGATGAAATTTGGTTTAAAGGTGTAAAGCGGGATAAACTTGAATGAGTTCGCGAACCAGCACGATCGGACCACGGGAACGGGGCTTTACGGGGGGTTTTATGGGGTAAAAATTGGTTTATCTCATTTTTGACCCTCAAAACACAAAATTTCCCAATTTCTCTTTAGACCTTTTTAAAGAGCTTAAAAAAACAAATAATTTAGTATATAAAAGTATTTTTGTTCGATTATTAGTAACGGAGAAAATTTAAAAAATTGTAAATTAAAAATTCCCATGTTATTCTTATGGAGAATATTGTCAAATGTTGTAGTTTGCTTGTTTATGGATATATTTTGATCAAACTTGGCAAATTTATTTATTTTATACTAAGCTATCAATATTTTACTCAAAAACACACTTTATTAGTTTCCTTGTAGCAGCAAACCTAGGTACTCGTTAAACCTTATGTTATTAAAATATATTTAACTGAAAATAAATTCAGACAAATGGAAATTCGCTTAGTCGGCAGGTTTGCTGCGGCGGGGGTATTTTATTGTTAGGTTGGTTGAGAGTAGTATAATGAAAAATATCATATGACACTTGTCCAAAATGTGTTTACCCTACTCGTATGGTAATCACTTGGTCGACAGGTGACTCGTCTGGTAAACACTTATTTTCCAGACTAGTAACCTAATATACTATTACTCTGCTTGTGCCTAACCGATTTGTTGTTTTTCTATTGAATAGAGATGTTGATGTTTAATTATGAACCTTACCACATTCACTAGGGTCTGACTTATACAGGAGGATAAATAAGGCAACGATGACATAATAGCTTAGTTCATAATTCATTCATGAACAGAGCTGTGGTAAAGAGCACAGCGCATAATTTTTATTTCATTATTATAGTTTTGCCAAGCTTCGATGTCTTCTAGCAAGAATAGTGCATTTTTCCCCTCTTCTGACGAAGATTAAAAGTGTATTGAAGCAGTGTCTTGCTCATTCAGCTTTAATTTACAGCACGCTACGAGTGAAACTGTTTCTTTGCAAGGGTAGAAAAATCACTTATAGACATACCACGAACAAAACAACCTGCGCAGAAACGAAAAGATCACGTGGTTCGCGCCGGTAGATGTGGCGTACCATTCAAACCTGCGCGGCTCGAAACGGCCCAGGGTTCTTTTGTTTCTGGTATTACTATAACAGTCCCTGGCCTTGCTTTCAATTGGTTTTGTATAAGTATTTTAAAATATCCTTCCTCATCACTTCTCCTGGTAATAACACTATGCGTACACAACGGAGGTTCGCTTTTGGTCCAGAATATCCTCGTCTTCTATGTTTTTGATCAACAGAATCCTCAACACTTTGCTATTCACACTCATAATAGTCATAATGAGAGCACTAAAAAACATTATAAAACCGTCAGCAACCAACCGTTGAACTGGTTCTTGGGCGGGTCACCGGAATTCTACCCCGGAAATTTACCCCCATGAAAAAACGCCTACGTTATTTTGACGTCACAGTTCTGTGGGTAGATTTCCACGAGAAAATTCCAAAAACATGGATTTCAATGGTTATGCAAATAATGTATCCGTATGAAATCTATATTTACTAATATATAGCCTAAAAATGAGATGGTGTGTGTTTGTGTGTCTGTCTGCTACTTAATAACGCAAGAACCACTGAACCGATTAAAATAAAATTTTGTATGAAGGTAGCTTATGTACCTGGTTAACATATAGGCCTATTCCTGTTATGATATTTCCCTTGGGATACGCCCCATGGGCTTCCAAAGTTTCAATGTTAACATTTTGGAAGAATGTAAATAGTAAAAAATATTAATTGAAGTCAGCTGTAAATACCATAATTTGACAGTTCAAACAGCAGAGGTTAAGAGGTACAGGTTCTGCTCCCAATATTCTAAAGTTTATGCTTCTTATGAGAATAGTTTGATTAAAATATTTATGAAAAATAGTTATTTGTGCAACTAGTGAGAAAAGTGAGCAATTGACTCACTCGAGAGAAATCCTTACTCACGAGCCGTAGGCGAGTGAGGAATGGTTTCTCGAGTGAGGCAATTGTACTTTGAACTCGAGTTGCACATTATACTTTTCCTACAGTTACCATAAAACAAATAAATTGGTGAAGAAACATAACCTATTTTTACACAGAAGTGAACTTTTAATATAACATTTAATGTGAAGTGACAAATACAACAGTACAACAGCTGATCAGCTGATTTACAGCCAGTGCTGCCAACGTATTTCACGCGCATACTACGTTGCCTGAATGTTACGCGCTCACTATTTCGTGCCTTCACGTTGCAAATCTGGAGTGAGACAAAGTAATTAGAGTGAGACAATGTTAGCATTGTCTCACTGATGAGCGAATTGGCCACTTTGCTTTCTCAAATCAGTGAGAGAACATGAACATTGTTAGGTAACTGTAGGAAAATACTATTTTCATGGAAACAGAAGGATCATTACAATGTATATAGCCTAAATCATTTGGAATAATTTTGATATGGTAGCTTTTTGTTTACAAATTTGAACTGATAAACAAATATTTGGATCAGGATTTTTATAGGTTTTAAAACTTATACAGAGATATATGTACTGGTACAGTTTTAAAAATTTAACTGACTCAATGTTTATACTTTTATTTGTGTTTTAATTCCATTTACAAACTAAATTTCAACTATAGGCTACCTAATTTTATTCCGTAGCTACTACTTATATTTTCATTTTCTTCTATCAATTACTTCACATTCACTTTTTTTACATTTACAGAAACCTCATATTAATAGTTGTGTTTTTACAACACTGCCTTAATTAGACTATGGAGAAAAGCACAAAACTAAGCTGCAGGCAATTCACTTTTGTTTCTAAAATCAATTAAATACCTGTAACGTAACTATGTTTCTTTACTCAATGTTTTAAATGATTATGAAAACTAATGGAAAAGCATACACGTTTTGAACTATGGAACAAGTTAAAATAATAACTGTTATGTATTGTTATTGATTTATATTAAAATTGATGACATTTGTGCCCTGATTAACAATAGTTAGTGGTTGGCTTTTTAATAAAAGGTAATACAAGTTTTCCATTAGTTTATTTTTTCTTATTATTGTGATACATACACACTGATCTGCAGGTCAAGATTGAACTTTGAAAAAAGCTCAGTAGCCAAGGTAAAACATCAGAGTAATAAAACAAAAGTTTGTTTTATTACTCTGAGGTAAAACAAATCAATTGCATGTGAAATCAATATAAACTGTCTTTTTGCTTTACTAGAGTGCCTTAAATGTGTAGTGTGATTATTTTTCCTTATTAACTTTTATGTAGGTACGTTTTTCTACGAAATAAGCTACGAAATAAGTTTTTCTATTTAAGTAAGCTTATAATTTGAAAATTGAATCCTATGGGTACATTATTTCCATACATGCATCATCGCCTAATATCATTCGCACTAGGTAGCATAAGTTAGCCTAAATTGAGTTATGTTCCTGAAACCAAAGGGGAATGTGGAAACTATTTTATACAACAGAATTAAAGATTAAAAATTTTCGCTTCAGTGCCCTCTCTACGGGTACAGCATCTAGTAAATAAATATAAACAGCACTTCTGACAAGTGTTTTGATTTCCAAAATATTTTGGACCCTCAAAAAAATTAATTTGCAATTTATATTGTGTTTTTGACGAGTTCTTTAACAAATGTCTTCGCAACGAAACTTCCCTTGTCTGCGAATGAACAATCCTAGTTGTTAGGCTACTTTTTGATGGAGGATATAAAATCTATTTAATATTTTATTGGCTCAACAAAATAGTCTAGAGACGAAATAAGTTATACATGTAGAGCAACTAACCTTGCCAATATGTAGTAGGTGATAGTGTGGTTCAGTGGTTGCGCGGAAAATTAGAACCTGTTTATTCTGTGGTCGGTAGTCGAAAATGGTCAATGTTCGAAGATTTTAACTGTTT